GCATCCCAAAACCAGTCCAGCTCGTCCCTGCCTCCCTAACCTGTTCTTCCTCCCACCTATCCCCTCCTCCCACCTCAAGCCGCACCTCCATCTCCTACCGACCAACCTCATCCCGCCCCCTTGACCTGTCCGTCCTCCCTGGACTGACCTATCCCCTTCCTAACTCCCTACCTACACTCACCTTTACTGGCTCCATCCCCGCCTCTTCGACCTGTTTGTTTCCTCTCCACCTATCCTCTCCTCTATCCCTCTTCTATCCGCCTCCAACTCTCTCCCTATTTATTTCGGAACCCCCTTCCCCTCCCCCTTTTCTGATGAAGGGTCTAGGCCCGAAACGTCAGCCTCTCTGCTCCTATGATGCTGCTTGGCCTGCTGTGTTCATCCAGCCCTGAACCTTGTTGTCTCGGATTCTCCAGCATCTGCAGTTCCTACTATCTCGAATTCATTACCTTGTAGCTCAGCAGGAGACGCTGAATTGCTCTGTAGATTAACTTTGGGTCTTTTTCTGCTCGAACTTCAAATGTATGTTTATCAGGTGGCAGTAGTTCTTCATCCAATTTCTCCAGCATAGCAGTGCGCTCGGCTGCATATAGATTATTCAAATTCGGCATTTGATTACTGCGAACCTAATAAGAGATTAAAACAGATATTAAAAACAGCCACCGCTGGATAAAATTGTATGGAAATATTCTGGTTCCTAATACATCATTTCATTTTAAATTATCAACAGTTATTATTCAGAAATAATCTGTTAAATCAATGAAAATTAACAGGGACTAGACAACTGCTACTAACATACATTTAAAAATATAAGAACATTCATTGAAGGATTATTGTATAATTTCAAATGAGTAGTCACTATCAATCTCCTATCATATCCAAAATGCGGAGGTAATGGCCTAGTGGTATTATCGTTGGACTGTTAATCCAGAGACCCAGATAATGTTTTGGGAACCTGGATTCAAATCCCGCCATGGCAGATGGTGGAATTTGATTCAATAAATATCTGGAATTAAGAGTCTAATGATGACCATGAATCCATTGTCAATTGTCGGAAAAACCCATCTGGTTCACTAATATCCTTTAGGGAAGGCAACTGACGTCCTTACCTGGTCTGGCCTACATGTGACTCCAGACCCACAGCAATGTGGTTGACTCATAACTGCCCTCTGGGTAATTAGGGATGGGCAATAAATGCTGCCTAGCCAGCAACGCCCTCATTCCGTGAATGAATGAAGAAAAAAAAGTTACATAATAGATATAAACAGTCATATTTCAACCAAGATTCATTTACTAAACATTAACATACTCCCAAAGATCCCTCACCCCATTTGAGAATGATAAAGACTGGAATTCTCCACATTCGGTACTATGCACGATCAGCCTATATTTCATGGAAAATTCTGTGCTCAAGAGGTGAAAAGTTCATTACAATCATAAAACATAGCCCATCATGCTTGTGCTAGCTCTGTCAAAGAATCATTAATCTGTCCTAGATCCCGACCACCTTGAAATTGGAACAGTATCCTCATTTCTTTCAATCAAAATAATTCATAATGATGAATATCAACATTAGAAATGGAACAATGTCTTTCCCAGAAAGCAAATAGTTGCAACAAATACAGCAGCATAGAAAACCTAATTATCTCAAAATATTTTGTATTACTATATTTTCCACACCATTAATTGATGATTAGTCTCAATTTAATGACAATTGTATTTGGTACCCAAGTAGCAGCCATCTTGTGTTTAAACACTAAAATGGTATAGTCACTTTGTCATGTTGCAATGCAAGTGTCCAAACAGTCCAATTTTTGAGCAACCCTTAGTCCCAACGTAGCATAGGATGAGGTGATGATGCCATGTAATTTTTAGTCTTGAAACCTGACGTATAGTCCTAGTAGGTCTCGGTCATCTCAATGCAGCTCAGGTTATTAATCTGAAAGGTTGCACATCTTCCTAACTTTCAATACTTCTGTTACAAGATTTTCAGGTTCCTTTTGCATGCATTTTTAAATCAGAGTCTAGGTCATCTGCACAACCTTGAAATGTATGAAAACTCGACAGAAAATGTATTTTGAAATATGATCAACATCAATCAGAATTCTGGAGGCATCCATGTTTGATAAGACTATTATAATTTGCTTCCTTCAAGTATGGTATACTGGGATCTTCATTGTTCTATTTGATATTTTTCAGACACAACATGGAGACCAGGTGTAGGAAAAGTTTAGTCTTCTTTCATGCCTGGCATAGATGGTCTTGCCGTTGTGATGTGCAGTAGTCTGGATGTATATTCAATATAGCCACAGCCTGATGCCTAATTTGAATTTCTTATTATTCTACACAGGCTTAGTCAAATAGCCAAACCTTTTCTGATGTGTAAACATAGCCAATGACTGAGAGAAAAGCTATATATTAATGCTGATTGCATACTACAGAGCTTGCGTTCAACTTCTTCCACGTGTTTGAAGCTTCAGGTGCAGTTTGCACAAACAGTGAATCTTTAATCTGAATGTTCATGAAGTCATTTTTTTTCTTAAATCAAAACATAAAAAAATTGCATGCAAAAATCATGTTACCACTGAAATAAGTACCCACCGTAAAAAAAATTATGGTTTTTCTACACATTCTCCACTGCAGTGCTTGTAAGGTGGTCAGCCAGGTGGACTTCACAGAATACAAGTTCCCTCATTGGACTAGGTTAACAGCCCCAATCAATGAGTCCTGGCTGGCAGACATGAATAGGACTGCCAGAAGCCCTGTTCACTCAGAGCTGGCACCGAAGAAGCCAGACTAGAGTCAAGTACTATTCATGTATATATAAAGGGTGACTTGGTGATGGGATAACGGTCTCTGTGGAGCTATTTTATCCACTTTTCACAAAATGCATCTCTGAAAAGAAATTAAGGATACCAGGGAAGTCACTACAATGGCTAAGGAGCAATTGAAATGAATCCTCAAGCTAAGTGACATACAACAGCATTGAGAATCCATTTTTGTTTTCACAATTCACTCAACTCACAATTTTTATGCCCATCCACATTTGTAATAAGCTGCCCTCACCACCCCCAGCTTGTTTCACACGTTGCTCCCACTTCTTTAGGTTTTCATAGCATGCAGCACTCTGACCAAGATAACACAGACAGTCTTTCAGCTCCATTAATATTACTTCCATGTCATGCACAAGGTCATTCCATCTAAGCCTCTGTCAAGACAACTCTCGACAGACTGCCAGGGGAAAGCTGGTGTCCTAAGAAAGCCCTGTTTGAAAATGTCCATCTTACTAAGATAGCAGCAATTACTCTAACCTCAGAGGAAACAGAATATCAATTATAAAAAAGTGAACAGAAAGGCACATTTCACAAGGATATCATTTAGTTGCACCTTCACAAGTTATTCATTTCATGGCACTGGCAATGACATGCCATTTCTACTACATAAACAATATCCATACTATTTTGTTTTCCTGCAGAATCTTGGAGCTACAGGCATTCGTGGGTCTGTAGTATCTTGAGCCAAAATGAAGAATTCTGACACATCCAAGTTGAGTCTTATTCAACTCTCATCATCACACAGGTGCACTTTCTAGTGGCAGTCACTTAACATTAGGGAAACTGTGGCTAACCACCAGACTAACTGTGTCATGATTAACTCTGCTTACCACAGTTCAGCAAGCACATCACAGAATTAAATAAGGCCCATTTTTGGTCTTTTACAATATACATAAAACAAAACACAACTTTATGGGACAAAATATTCCTTCTTGATGCAGTCATCTGTGGTTAACTCAATGGCTAATTGTCTTTTAATTACTTACAGTGTCAAGAACAAATACAGAAGCCTTCCTTTGAGAGGGGATGAACAAGCCAAATAAAGCCTTATTCCCTTGGGCATTGTGGTAGAAGTAAATATGTCGGATGCTACCTACAAAAACAAGAAGCAATGAATTATTTCAATTGTAACCATAAGTTTTGACATTTTTCCTAACTTCTAATTGGCCAATGTCTCAGTAAATTTCAATCTGTAAATGGGCAGAAAAACCTTATTGGATGGATGCTAGTATAAACACTTTGCTACAGAATTAAGCTGGTTTGAAATTAGAATCATAGAATCAGAGTTTGCGTATTTTTGTTTGAAGGACTGGTGCTTTGGGCTATTCTAAGACACCAAGTTTGCAGAAGTGCAATTTAAGATGGAGCCACATATACCAGCAAAAATTTCTGGAGTAAGGCATACAAACTTTAAAATGGGACTAGCAATAAAAGGAAGGGCTGATTACTGACGTTATCTGAATCAGATACCATATGTATAACCTGAATAAAAGAGGAACTATGGTCAACCCACAGAAGACCAAGAAAATAAAGAAGTTTCAATATCACAGTTCACCATCTCACTTCATTGGCTTTGAAATGAATTTCAGAGATGGGACTGCATATGCTTAGCTGGCTTGTCCCACTTTAGCTTTCCAGATGATGACCTTTGATTCATACAAGGTTGGATGTCCATTTGTCTCCAGGTGTAAATCCACCTTTGCGTTGTTAATCAGTTGGTCCCACTGTCAGTATTGCAGGAGGCTGGGCCGGAAGAGTAACCAAACATGCCCAAATCCATGCAAGTATGGTGATCTCACTGAGACAGGTTGAAAGTCTCTAGTGAGGAAAGGTATTAGGGCAGGGATGGGTATGATAGGGAGGCAAAAACATACAAGTGATTACTTTAAGGATCTTAATTCAGCTACAGATTGGTGGACTATCCAGTGCTTCGCTCCACCCATAAAGAATGGCAGGGGAGAGCAGGCTGGTGGCAGGCATCATGCTTTAATTTATTGTATACTCACCTTAATTAATGCCTTAAACCAGATTAGGTGACAGTGAGACAAGATGCAAAATTTTAACTAATGTTATTAAGTTGGCTATATTAAATGGGCTTTAATGAAAAACATGCATATAAAACAGATAGCAACTTATCTCAAGAAAATTAGCAAGTTAGCAATAGTATTTTTAAACTGCATCCCTGCATTTTATTTCAAATTCATTGGTTGATTCTCTACACTCAAGTTGAAATTGTAAAACAAAAACAGAAATTGCTGGAAAAGCTGAGCAGGTCAGGCAGCATCTGTGGACAGATATCAGAGTTAACGTTTTGGATTGAGTGAGGAAGGGTCACTCGAACCGAAACGTTAACTCTGATTTCTCTCCACAGATGCGGCCAGGCCCGCTGACCTTTTAGAGCAATTTCTGTTTCTGTTTTACAGTATCCACAGTTTTTTTGGTTTTTACTTGAAATTACAGAAGCTAACTTCAATTTTCAATGTTGTAAGCATTAAAGCAAATTAATCTCTTCTGAAAATATAATCTATAAAATCAAAATTATCAGTCGATTTTAATCTGTGAAATTAGACTTTGGTACCAAACCAACTGTACCCAAACTTCTTTCACCTCAGAACTGTCCTTCCTTTTGGAACTTTAAATGTTATCAATAGATAGGCTGTGCTGAGAAGTTTTAAAAAAAAAGTGGAAGTTATGTTAAAATTGTGTCTTCTGGTGCATGTAAACTGGCAATTATTTCTAATCTACCAAATCAAGTAAATTTCCTGCTTCTAATGCCATATAATGGAAAATTTAATTTGTATTGAGAAATGTCTCTCGAAGTTTTGCCTGCAGTTAAGTTCAGAGCTAGTGTAGTTTCAGTTCAAGAGGGATTAGTCATAGATTGAGATGGGAGAAGAAATACCTTGAGAAAATTCTGTAGTTTGTAGCAAGTAGCATTGACTTCATGGATGCAAGCCTAAGGAAATTTGCAAACATACTACCTTGTTTAGTTTGAAAATAATCACTACATTACAGATATTATAAAACCAGTGACAATGCCAAGAACACATTGGTTTCAAACCAGTACAAGTGAAGATGTTGCCTGTGAATCAAAGCTTGTCCACTAATCAGTAATGTTCTACAAATTTCATTTGGCTGCTTCATACTACTGTCTTGTTACTAAACAGATTAGTATTACTTAATTCAAACTACACAGTCCATTTTTAGGCATTCTTCTAGAGTTAAGAAATTTAATTTCAGATGTTTTCTATTCCCTCATGGTAGATCTTATTGCTGTTGGTCAAGAAACTAATGCCACTTAAGCACATAGCTAAAGACTAAATATCCTCAATGCTGCATTTTAGCAATGCATTAGGTTAAACTTCCATCCAAATTCTCATTAACTTGAAATAAAATAAAATTATAGTCTGCACAAGGCTGAAATTGATCACTTATGTAGGAGTTTGCCCTCTGACTGTAGAAAATCCATTTCAGTTTCTCAAGTCTTATTAAATTAATTGCTTTCCTGAGATTTCCATGAGTTAGGTATTCCATAAAGCCTCTAACAGAGGAGATCAGGGACTACTGTTTTGACTCTTGAAGGTTTCATGAGGCAGTAGCAGCATCCTTGTCTGAGCCAGAAGCTGTGGGTTCGAATTTCACTCCAGAACTCTTGGCTAAGAAAAGTACGTTTAGAATGCAGCCAAACAGGTCAAGTAGCAACATGCAATTCTTCCAAAACATGCTAATAGCCAATAATTCATACGTTAGCATGAAATTTTTCCTGCTCTCATCACTATAACAGCAGGAGAAATTCACATGAACATATGAATTTGGAATAGAAGGCACACAGCAGCCTCAAGCCTGGTCCATCATTCAATGAAAATCATGACTAATCTGACTGCTACATGTTTCCACCTGCTCCGACACCTTTTCATCCCCCTGCTCATCAAGAATCTACCTTTGCCTTAAAACTATATAAAAGACTGTTTCCATTGTGTCTTAAGGAAGGGAGAGTTCTAAAGACTCATGATCTTCCACAACCAAAAGAAAGTCATGCCTTCATTAGAAGATCCATTATTTTTAAGCAGTGGTCCCTAGTTCTAGGTTGTGTGACTCGTGGAATCATTTTTCCCACATACAGCCTGCCAAGACCCTTCAGGCTCTTGTATATTTCGATCACGTTACTTACTCTAAATTCCAGGTGATACAAGCCTTGCCTATCCAATCTTTTCTCATAAGATAACCTGCCCATTCCAGATATTGGTCTAATAAACATTCTCTGATCTGCTTCCAATGCATTTCTCAAATAAGGATAATAACCGCACAAAGTCTTCCAGTTATGGTTCAGCAATGCCTAAGTGATGCATGATCTCTGTACTTTTGTATTCAATGCACCCTCACAATAAACAGCATTCCATTAACTTTCCTTATTATTTGTTGTACTTGCAAGCTTACCTTTTATGAATCATGCATTAGGACACCCAGATCCATTTGCATCTGAGTTACACAAGTTCTCAGTTTACATAATGTGTTTCATTTTTATTCCTGGCCAGCCACATAATGGAAAGAACATTGGAGCCTCTATCATCACTGTCCATAGCTTCAGACTATAAAATGCAAGTAAAAGTGCGTGTTGCCAAAGCAACTCAGATTTCATGAACCATAATAGAGTACGGCTGATTCAATGTAAAGGCTTCCACCAGGAATAATTTCAAGAGACAAGAGGAGGGTTGAGTTGGGAATAGAGAAACAGAGCAGGACAAGAGATAGCAATCACCTAAAACCCCGAATCACTGCAACTGCAAAAATACAGACTTATGCAACCTATGAACCAAACACTAATAATGTATACTATATGCTGTACAGGTATTAATTAGAAAACCTACTTATTGAGCCAGGTGGTATCTTTTCCTTTTATATTTTCATTTGTTTATGAACTAAAATGGAGCTGTTTGAAAGCAACTTTTCCCCATCTCACTAATGAGCCCGAGATAGTAGGAACTGCAGATGCTG